TTGAAGCTCACAAAATTTTATTTGTCCATAACTATAAATGTTTTTAAGATCTACGGCACTGTTTTCTTGCAAGTCTCCAAACTCTCCACTTCGGTAAAAAGTGCTAAGATTTAAACAGAAAAATAGAAAACTCAAAATACTCTTACTCAAAACAAGTTTACCATATGAAAAGAAAAATAAACTATTAGCTGAAGGCCAATTGCTTAACATTTTTTTTTGGAAAAATAAAAATATATATATTTAATTACATACTCCTTGCCTGTATTAACCCATACTTTATACACACAAGGTATATAACAATGGACGTTGCACAACTGTTGGGTTTTAGCTTAAAATGAAAAGTACAACAAAAAAGTTTTTTAAAGATTACGGGGAATTTTTTCATAAGAGAACTATTAAATGGGGAAATGTAATTGTAAAATTTAAAAAAAAAAGCGCTTAATTAGCTGCTGCGCGATGCTCGAAAGGAAAATAGTTTAATTAAATTCATAAAAATTAAGATAGGAAAAAAAGTTAATTATATAATTTTTTTTTTAATATTTAAAGCATATTTTATTCATTTTTGAAGTGAAATAAATATTTTAATATGTATGTATATAAATTTATTTTAATATACTGTCTTAGTTATTATTAAATAGGTTCATTGTATTTGTAAGCTACCAGGAACTGCTGCATGCATATGCCACTTAGAAATTTGATTACAAAAAAAAAAATGTCGCTAAAAATAAATGTATACGCGTATTAAATTCATTTCAACTTTCAACATACGCTTTAATTAACCGATTTGAAAGCGATTAAGGTCAACTTCAATAGCATTGTAAACAAACTTTTTAATAGGCGCACGAGACAGTAATTTGCGGGGAACGAAAGCAGAAAAACTGGTCGCCGTGCGCTGCGGTGCGACGACAGCTGTTTGCCGCTTGTGGGCGATGGATGAAGTGTTTCGAAAGTTTTTTCATTAACTAACTTTTTGTTTGTTTTTAGGACTTTTAGGTGTGAAAAATGTCATAATTAGTAATCAAAAACAATTATAAAAATCGCATGATAACAAAATAATAATAATAATAATAAAAATATGCAAATTTTTAGAATATTGAAAAATGCAATAAGCATATGGAAATTAAACAATAAAAATATTTGGACATTTAAAAATAAATGTATATTAAAAAAATTAAATATATGGAAATTTAAAAATATTTGAAATAAAGTGTTTTCTTTTACTCTATATCAGTTTTTTATTTAAGAAAATTATTATTTTTGATTACTTTTATTTTCTAATTTCTTTATTATTTTGTTTTTTATATTTACCTTATTTAACTTTAATTTAAATTATTTTATTTTAATCTAATATTTTATCTTATTATATTTTTAAATTATTAAATTATTATCAATTTTATTATTTATTATAAAAAAATAATATATTTCATTTTTTTTAATTTACTTTTATTTTATTTAACTTAATTAAATTAATTTATTTAATTCAAGCAAATGTTTATTTATTTTATTCTTCCACTTTATTTTAATATTTTTTGACGAATTTCTAAAATTTGAAGAGAAATTTTTAGAAAAATTTGTACGCACTCCAAAAATTCAAAAATTTCTTTCAAAAAACAGTTTTCAAAGTCTGTCCTTTCCCGACAAAATTTATTGCGTCACATTGCTTACGACTTAAACGCTATGACATAAACGCTATGACATATACGCATATACATATATGTAACTATTAAGCAACTGTAATTAACAACACCGCCTTGCCACAATTATATCGCGCGATTTATGCATCTAAACACAAGAATTACGGCAAATAAATGGTAACTAAAACGCTACAGGGCGTATGATTAACGTAATTGCCGCACATTTGCGGTCTCCCAGTGTTTGTATGTACGTGTACATATGTATGTATGGATTAGTGAAAAACTGCTGCAATTACAGATAATCTATTGACACTTGTGGAAAAAATGCACGCAAGCAAAGCACCGATTACACTCATTAAAAGGAGGGTAAATAATTTGAAAACAGCTAAGCGGCCGCCGCTAAGGCGATGCCTAAGGCATGTAAAGAGAGACTATTCTTGTTGTCTTTTTTCTTAATATATGAAATCACGAAATGACAACTTTTGAGAAAATTCATAGCGAAAAGAAGAAAAAAAAGAGTTTTTGATAGCAGTGATTTTCGAAATCAAGTAATCGCTCAGAAGGCAGTGCGCAGAAGAGTAAACAAATCATCGCAATTATTTACAATCAACAATGAATAACTGCCATAATTTCACTAAGTGAAATAATTATGTGAGTGCGAGTCAACTACATTTAAACTAACATTCAAACGTCGATTAAATAAAATGAAAAAATATTTATATTAAAGCGTCTGTCACCACAACAGTCACAACAGTGCAACGCACGTGCGTTCGGCAATGCCGAGTAGATATGTATATGTATGTATGTACTGTACATATGCATGCTTTGCCTATGAGAAAAAGCTCACCTCTCACCGCTTTTGCTAGTTTATTATTATTACTACCGTTTTATTGTTACACCCAACAACAGGGCAAAGGGGTCTGCTTTAAAATAGTCATGATAAATGACAAGAAACTAATAAAAATTAAAAAAATTACAAAAAAAAAACATTTTACTGGGAATTTTATTACTTTATTGTAATGCATTCGTGTCCGTAACAAAAATTTCGTAAGACATCACGTGTAGTATACAATTTTGTGACGAGCCAAAGAAAGCTTGTGAGTTAGTGGTTTCACTACAACGGCAGCGGAAAAATCTGTAAGGTGAGCGAGTGCATAAATAATAGATTAAATTATTGACTAGTATTTGTAATAAAAAAAAACAACATTTATGAATACGCAGCGTAACAGCTTAGCTGAAGTCACTCAATAATACACTATTTTTTTGTAAAAAAAAATATTAAAACGAAACTCTACACTTTTTCCAAAATCGCATTAGAAACCTTAAACAAGTTTTTAAGCACTTCTTGGTGTCTAAAATATTATTTTATGGAATTTTGAAAAGTCTCCAAACTCTACAAACTTTCCACAATTGACAAGTAAATGAAGGAAATGCTTTACGAAAATTTTGCATTGATTTTTTCAACACTCTTGATGATTTTAAACTGCACACTCGCTTAAAAGCATTTTCAAACAATTCTTATATGTATGCAATTCCAAAGCACAAAGTCTTTAAAAACGCATAAAAATAACTGATTATTGAATTTAAAAAAAATGTCATATTGAGAAAAACAAACTTTTGTGACATCCATAAAATTTTACGCCAAATTAGCGTAAAAATATTGTAGGAACATACGTCAAATAATCACAACTGTCATGTGAGTTAAGTCAATTTCGATTTGTTAATTGCCTCTGGTGACACTGGTCGTTGGTGCCATCATGCATTTTCAATCAACAACGCAATTAAATTTAATGAACTGAAAAAGAAAAAGGCAAATAAGCGCCACCATACCTACTATTGTACATATGGCACATGCATACACATGTACATAACATGCAATGTAAACAGCTTTTGTTTGTTGCTGTTGCTGTTGCTGTTGTTGTTCTTGGTGTTGAACAAAGAGTGGGTTGATGGTGAAGCGCACTTTATTTGATATTTTTATTAATACACTTCTTCTTCTGCCATTAACTGCTACGCACTTACACCCACACGCCCCGCATACACATGCATATGGTATATATGTATGTACGTATGTATGTACATATGTCTTCAAAGATGATAAACGTGAGTGCAAATATTTTAGTTTTAAATTTTGCGAATGAAAATATTTCAAAAACCAGTCCAAGCATACATACACACACATCCCATGCAAATGCTAATACCGGCCGTCTGCCAGCCCTCGAAACGAGTGTTTGTATCGTTTTAATGATAATTTATTGAATTGTAACATATTTTTGGCAACTTAATGCCGTGAGCATGCGCATTGACCTCCGCTTGTAACGGTTACCCACTGAAATGCCCACAACACATGTAAATCATTTGCGTCAATGTGAACTTAAGTAAATAAATGTAAATTTTGTATATACCGTTAAGTGATGGTCGTCGGTAGCTGGTGGGTGATAATATGAAAAAAGGAGGCAGAAAATTTGAGACAAAAATATATAAAAATAAATTTGGCGGATTGTATGATGCACTTAAGGGAATATAATTAGGCTAAAACGTCATATGTAAGCGGTAAGGAAAAAGAGTTTGACGAATTCTTCGAATCAAGACAATATGACATTATAAGTGCATTTGCTGTGGGTATTTTGTGAAAGTTTATTTTTATCAGGAAAAGGAATACAATTTGGGGTATTACCAAGACGGAAACTTTTTGATATTATTATTATTTAAATTTCATAACATTTAAATAAATTTCGAATATTGATTTTTCTTAATTGTGAAAACTCTCCACTACCATTGAATTATTCAAAACAAGTAAAACGGTTGAATGCTATAATGTTTTATTAATTCATAATGAAATTTGAGCAAATTTCAAAAATCTCAAAATTCTACACTGTCCGAAAATTGTTCAAAAACATAGAGAAGATAAATACTATGTTGTTTAACAGATTTTCAATGAACTTCGAAGAAATTTCAAAAAATTTTCAAACTCTCCACAGTTTTGAAATTGTTCAAAATCGTAGAAAAGTTTAATATTCTGGTCTCTAACCCATTTTTCCAGAAATTTCAAAAAGTCTCCAAGCTCTCCACTGCCTGTAAATTGTTCAAAATCGTAGAAAAGTTTAATATTTTGTTTTTTAACATATTTCTAAAGTTTTCGGATCTGTTCTGAGCATTTTCCTAGCTTTAAGGATTTGCTAATTTGATAAAAAAAAAACATAGTAAGTTGGTCCGAGGTGTAGCAAACTAGAGTTCGTAAGAATAAATATTCTGATGTTTTACTCATTCCTAAAAATTAAGTGAGTTACCAAAACGAATTTCTCAAACGCACTTAAATAAACATAAATAAAATTATGAAATAAAAAATACCAAAAAAATACCCACGGAAAATGCAACAATTTGCAGTATATCTGCGCCAACTCCTTGGACAAGCGCAACGATGGCGGACGACTATGAAAACGCGGCGGCGACGTCGACAAAGAAGTGGGCGACGAGGCGGCTGACATAGACGAGCTCGGACTACAAGCGCCAGGGGCGGCCAACGATTCAGTCGACAGAGAATTTGTATACGACGAGGCGGGTGAGGGATTCAACGATGAGAGAGGCGTACGAAAAATATCATCAGTTTCGTAAAAATGCATAGCCGAAGGAGTGGCATAAGCTGAAGTATCACCACCATTGGCAACCGTCTCCAAATCCAAATGCAAATCTGTGGTTATGCGCAATGCGGGTATATCTCTGGCGTGAATGCGTATGCAGGTGGGGTTTTCCTGTGGCACTTTCAAGTAGTCAATGCTATTTGAGAGACTCTTCGAAATGTTGTTGTTTTTACTATTTTTACTGCCACCAAAACCTCTATTGTTCTTGTTGTCATTTATTGTGGCCAATTCATCGTTACTCAAGAAACTGCGAGATTGTTGTAGTTTCTGCTCATGTTGTTGTTGCTGTTGGCTTTTATTCGGCTTCTTCTTTTTGGAGGCAACATGATGACTCTGATTGCTATAATGATGGTAGTGACCACTATTGATGTATGTCGCCGCCATGGCCTTTTCGTATTCAATATTGCGTGTGTTGTTGTAATCGCTGTTATGTTGTTTTTGTGTTTGATTTTCCTTCTGCTGCTGTTGTTGCTGCTGTTTGGCAGCGGCAGAGGGGCCAAAGGAGTTTGATAGTTTTTCAATGTATTTATTGAAGATCATTTTGGCGGTTTTTCAATTTTTTTCAATTTTTAAATTTTTTTTATTTTGAGAATTTACTGGCTTTGTGGTTAATTATTTTTAATTTAGTAATTTTTGGTGGGTGTTGTTAATACTGGATCGAGTTTGTGGCGCGTTCTAGTTTATTATTTATAAATTTTTTTTTTTTTTTTAAGTTTTGGAAACTAACTCCTTTTTAATTATATCACTTTCTATTGTAAATTTCGTTGTTCCGTTGGGACGTTAACTGCTATATTATTTTTATTTTTATTAATATTTGTATTATTTTTTCTTACTTTAATTTTTATTCTTTGCTTTAATTTGTATTTCTTAGCTTATTTTTTGTTTTCGAAATTTACGTATTTTCGAAAATGCATGTATTTCTCATATTTTGCTATAGGAAATATATTTTTTACAATTTTTTTGTCGAAAAAATATTTTTCAAAATTAAATGTAGCAGTTTTCTACAAATTTTTTCGTTGCTTTTCGTTTAATGATTTTCTTAAACTTGAACTTTTCTTACTTAAACTTTTACAGTTATTTCTCAGCAGCGTCTAATTACTTTCCAGCATACCAGCGCACGCTTTTTCGGCACGTTTATTTTTTTTTTTTTTTAATAACTAATATATATTTCTATTAGCACTTTTCACAGTAAATAGTTATTATATTTATTAGTTCAGCGCTTAGGTTTTTTCTGTTTTACTGGCGAGTCAACAAAAACAAAAAGGTGCGCTTTTCGCGTGTAAATAGTTTAAAAATTATTTATCACAGTAAATTTGTTTTTTTTTTTTATTTTCGCATAAAATATCTAGTTTGTTTTGCGACACGTTCTTCAATTATTTAGAATTTCACAGCTATTGGCTACGCTCTTAATTTTAGCACAATTTTCGCGAAATTTTTTATTGCCTACAACACTGTATTGAACTTGTGGAACACTTTGGGCAAATTTCTATTCTAAATTTCTTTCTTTTCTGTTGTTTTGGTTGTTGTTGTTTTGGTTGTTGTTGTTGTTGTTGTAGTTGTATTTACTTCCTTAACTTTCACTATTCAGTGTCATGCTTTGTTCTCGTTCGCCTATTTGTCCTTCGTTCACTTGATAAACTTTTTCAAAGCGTTTAGTAATTTCTTCTCCAGCGGTTTATGCGCTTTCACGCACAGTTGCGTATTCTTTGCCACCACAACGGACACTGGCGCACGGTTACGTTCGGTGCTGTGGTCAAGACTCGTTTTTGCCTCAAATAAATGCTCGTTAAGATATAATGAATGCATTTTTCACGTACAGAGCGCTGTCGCTATGAATATGCTCGAGACGCGGCTTACAACACGACGCAGCTTACAAACGACAAGTGCGCGCTGCAGTCATTGGCTGATGTTTTTTTCTAGCCTTTTTTTATATTTTTAATATAGTTTTTATTGTTATTATTATTGTTGCATATAAGCACAGTTTGGCATCAAATTAAGCGCTTTTTTATTTTTATTTAATTTCTTTTCACAAAGTGTGGTGCGTGCAAAATAACGCTCACCGAGCGCTGCTAAACCTGTTAAACGTCGACGCGCACCGTTTATGGGGCTTCATCGATTTTGGTATTTTTATTATTATTATTTTCTTTATTATTGCTACTACTTTTTTCAAATTTAGCTACGTTGAAAAATTCCAATTTCCAATTCCGATCACATATAAACACACGGCGCACTCAACGCACTCGCACGGTCAGCCTGCCTGCGATCGATCGATTGATCGAGCAGTCATCAAACAGTCGCTTGTTGTTGTATATATTGTATATACATAAGTGTATGTTTGTATGAGCAGCGATCTTCAAACGTTCTTTTATATATTTTTTGAATATTTCAAATTTTAACGAAATACAGTAAAAAAATTTAAATTTCTGACACGATTTCACTGGATTTTCCTACTCGTACGACTTGCGATTTCGTTGTCTGTTTTGTTTATATTTAAATACGGAATATTTTTTCATTGGCTTAGTCAATGGCGTAACTAATATGTTCTAAACGAACGCGCTTGCTGAACGCAAATGAAACGAACGCAGGTGTACTCTTTACTTTTTAAACAAAAATCGCGCAAGGCAAAGCCGTTCGTAAGTTAGTTGGGCGCGTTCAGCGGTAAGCAGCAAGCGTTAAACGTATTCTTGAGACATGCAGAATTTACGATGATGATGATGATGATGATGACGATAGGAGACGCTAACTGCTTACGGCGGAAATGTGGCGGAGAGAGAAGGAGAGAGCGCTGCATTCATAAGCCGGCTTGTTGATTAAAACAGTTGTGCTCAGTAAATGCTTGTACCTTAAATGAGTGCAAAGTGACTCAACAAATTTATAAAGAAATTCATCAGTAAGGTAAGTGGGTTCGCCGACCAGCAAGCGCTCTCAGCTGGCGATCAAGCACTCACCCAACAGCTGAGAACGCCCACCTGCAACGCTACACCTCAGCACTTTATAAAAGAGAGCGAAAGAGAGAGAGTGGAAGCGCATGAAAGTTCACGCTCAACACCTACACTCACCGTCAAACGTTCTGAGCGACTTCATTCTACCCCCCTTCCCAACAGGTAGGCATGCGTGCTCAATGTGTCAGCTCAGTTTGATCGGCAGCAGTTTGAAATCACTTAATTGATCACAGAGGTAAACAACAAATGATAAAAAAAAAACGTATTTCTTTATGCGCTTAAAAAGTTGCTTTCAAGTGTTTTTTACCGCCTTTTTCGCGGGGGTTGTTTGCTTAAAAGTGTGCGCGTCAATTTGGCAATTTCACGCACGCAACGCGCCCACCGCCTTACACCGGCGCAGCATCTCATGTTGTGTGCATCGAATGACGCGAAAGGGATAAATTTAAACGATTTGTGTAATTTTTAGCTTTTAGAAATCATAAATATTATGTATATTTATATATATGTAAGTGCAGTAGACACATTAAAGGCGGCCAAACGCAGCGACTGTACCTAACTTCTTATGAATTTCTGTTTATTTCCTGCACTTTGATATTTTTTATATAATACATACATAAATATGTGGGTAATTAAGGCATTCAATCGGTCACATGAAATAACCGCAAAAACTTCTGACTAAGCATTGTCTCATAACATTCATATGTACACACAATATAAAATATACATATGTGTACAAATATAAATATGTAAATATATGGAAAATAACAAAGACTGTCACTTATGGAATGTACCAAGAAACAACGACTGCTGTGACTGTTTGCAAAACAAAAATCTACAGCAAAACTGCGTAGTAATTTCTACTTAACATTGTTTACTATAGAATTCTTAGATACACAAATGACGCTTCAAACCAAATAATAATTTACTTTCGCCCCGTTAAAAGCATTATGTTTTATTCAAAAAGTTACCAAACAACCGACTTAGCGGAAAAATATAGTGAAAAATAATTTTTATGCCTTCAAAAATGCTTTCCGCCAACTCATGTCAACTCACCAAAGTCTCCAAACTCTCCATTGGTGTATACAATTTTAACCCTAATTTTTCATTTATTTTAATTGTGATTTGTAACAAAAAATACGAATTTGACAAGCAAAGCAAGTCTCCAAATGATTAACTCGAAGAAAAATAAATCTTAAAAGCCAAAATTCAGTTTTGTATAATAAAAGAAGCTTCAAGTACTTTAACGTCAAAATTTACAAATCTACACGAAAGTCTCCAAACTCACGACCAGTGAATAAAAGCTTACAAATAAGTTTTTATGCAATTGGACTGTATTTCACTTCAAAAGAGTATACATATCTGTATCTATAACAGTAAAGTTTCGATTTTCTTTAAAAAATGTTTTCAGAATTCCTTCGGCGTTATAAAAAAATTTACATTTTTTCATTATTTTATCCTGCACATTTTTTCGCATTTTTCTGTAAAAATTTCTTATATTCAGAATTTGTTAAAACATTAGCTCACTACTTTTTTACATACATATGTACATACATTCCTTTGAAATTACAGCAACCGTTGGACACTATTATTTCAACTATGTAAGGTATGTGACAAGACAATTGACTCATTTACATTCTTACTAATATCTGTGGCACTTTCTTAGCTGATTAAATACCATTTTTTTTTTTTAATTTTAAGCAAATATTTGAGTAAGGATGGCATGATATACAATCTTATGCATACATATGTATGTATGTATGTAGTTATTCCTGGAATTCTAAACTAATTTAATAAATGTGAATACATTTAGGTATGTACATTTGACAAGCTGCAGTATATGCATACAAAACCTCTAAAAGAGAAGTTAGAAAAATCAAAATATTTGCAATTTATTCGTATTTCGAGAAATATCCAGCATTTGTGCTTAGTAAAAATATACCAAAAAGTTGTAAAACATGCTAGCAAATATGAATTTCATTATTTTATACTCTTTTTGTACCATCAATGAGCTCTTAAAAACATTTTTGAAAAGTCTCCAAACTCTACAAAAACTATAATGAAATGAATAAAACACTGAAAAAATTGCTGTAAAGCATATTGAAATCAAAATTGTGGCATAATACGCTATTTTTGAAAAGTCTCCAAACTCTACAAAAAACCAAAACTTCTAAAACGACGTAGAAACTTTGTTGAAAAGCTTAATAAACAACAATACTAAATTTTTAGGCACTTTAGCAAACAAAAATTTTTTACACTGCTAAAATTTCGACAAAATTTAAAATTCAAGTTTGAGCAATAATTTCAAAACATTTTTTCGGCTTTAAATGCCATGCAAGACATTAAAATATTTTGCAAAGCTAAAGCGCGTTGTTTTCGAAAACATTTAAGCGAAATTTTAAATTGCAAGTCATTGGTGAATATATTGACAAGTGGCTAAAGATATACTACATATTTTTATATACGTACATGTACATACATATGTTTGTATGTTTTTCACTAATTATGCAAATGACTTTCGGCACAAAACAATTTTTGAAGCGCTGAACAATTAGCCACTTCATGAAGAATGGCATACAAATATAGTAAATATATTTTATTAATTATATCTGTGTTGCTAAAAATATCACCTGTATTGTGCTGATGTTAAAATAACAAATAAAAATTATTAATAATAACCGAAATTGCAATCAAAACGTAAACTAAATAAAAAAATTAATTGTTAATTATGAAAAGTTAAACAAAAATTCAATTATTCTAAATCATATCACAATTACGGAACAAGCTCAGCAGATGGTTTGCTTTAGCTGGAAGCATCCTCAGCAAAAAAAAAGAAGAGATGAATAATTAATTTAAAAATAATTATAACGCAATATCACTCACTCAAAATGAATTGTCTCATATTACCAG